AACTGGACTTCCTACTCCGCTTCCCGATCAAGCCACATGTGACAAGTCCTGTGGACTTTTTGAGTAATCAATCGTGGGGCGGAATTTGCAGTCTAGCGTCCAAAGATGAGTTTCGCAATCTGGATCGGGATATTGAGACATCATCGAAACGCTGGAAGAAGCTCGTCGAATCGGAGTTGCCGGAGAAGGAGAAATTCCCGCAAGAATGGAAGAATAAAACCGCGCTGCAGCGCCTCTGCATGATCAGAGCTTTAAGACCTGATCGGATGACCTATGCCTTAGCGTGAGTATCTAAAATAATTATGAAGAAAACTTACAATTCAAGATATATGATTTACAGCGACTTTATTGAGGAGAAACTAGGCTCGAAATATGTAGAGAGTCGTGCCATGGAATTTGCCAAGTCCTACGAGGAGGCTAGTCCGTCCACACCCATATTTTTTATACTGTCGCCGGGCGTCAATCCCTTAAAGGATGTCGAAGCTTTGGGCAAACAAATGGGCTTCTCCATGGATCTGGGCAACTTTCACAATGTGTCCCTGGGTCAGGGCCAGGAATCGATTGCGGAGACAGCCATGGATACGGCAGCCAAAAGTGGCCATTGGGTTGTATTGCAGAACATACACTTGGTGCGCAAGTGGCTGCCCGTGCTGGAGAAGAAGTTGGAGCACTATGCCGATGGCTCACATTCGGATTATCGCATGTTCCTTAGCGCAGAGCCAGCGTCCACGCCATCGGCACATATAATACCACAGGTGATAGCTTGGCTTCCATTTAATTAAGACTTCTATAAGGTCTTCATCGTTTTTAGGGCATCTTGGAGTCCTCCATAAAGATCACCAATGAGCCGCCAACGGGCATGTTGGCGAATCTGCACAAGGCTTTGGACAATTTCACGCAGGAAACCCTCGAGATGTCCGGCAAGGAGGCAGAATTTAAGGCCATACTCTTCTCCCTGTGCTATTTTCATGCTGTGGTAGCCGAACGGCGCAAATTTGGACCACAGGGCTGGAATAAGATCTATCCATTCAATGTGGGCGACTTGAACATCAGCGTCTCGGTGCTGTATAACTATTTGGAGGCCAATGCCAAGGTGCCTTGGGAGGATTTGCGTTATCTATTCGGTGAGATTATGTACGGTGGCCACATAACCGATGATTGGGACAGACGCCTGTGCATAACCTATTTGGAGGAGTACATGCAACCGGATCTGGTCGATGGGGAGCTATTCTTGGCCCCTTCATTTCCCGCACCGCCCAACACAGACTATCTGGGCTATCACACCTATGTGGATGAAATGATGCCAGCCGAGTCGCCATATCTATACGGCCTGCATCCGAATGCAGAAGTTGGATTTTTAACCACGCGAGCGGAGAATATTTTTCGCACCGTTTTCGAAATGCAGCCGAGAGACGCGGGCGCCGGCGGCGGTGCGACAGTTACGCGCGAGGACAAGGTCAAGCAAATTGTGGATGAGATCATAGAAAAGCTGCCGGAGGAGTTTAATATGGTGGAGATCATGAACAAAGTGGAGGAACGTACGCCCTACGTAATTGTGGCATTTCAGGAATGCGAACGCATGAATTATCTGACCAGTGAAATGAAGCGCAGCTTGAAGGAGCTCGACCTGGGCCTAAAGGGTGAATTGACCATCACATCGGACATGGAGGTGCTGGAGAACTCATTGTTTTTGGATCAAGTGCCGCCAATATGGACGCAACGTGCCTATCCCTCGCTGCTGGGTCTCAACAATTGGTTCATCGATTTGTGTCTGCGTTTGCGAGAGCTGGAAACATGGTCCACCGATTTTGTGGTATGCTGCAGCCAACCCGACCAACCAGTTTGCAAATATTTATGGTCTTTTTTGTTTGTTTTTTGTTTTTTTTTTTGTTTTTGTTGGTCGTTGTTGCAGCTACCCTCCTGCGTCTGGCTGGCGGGCTTCTTTAATCCCCAATCGCTGCTAACGGCCATCATGCAGAGCACGGCGCGTCGCAACGAGCTGCCGCTGGACAAGATGTGCCTGCAGTGTGACGTGACCAAGAAGCAGAAGGAGGAATTTACGTAAGTGCCGTCGACAAACGCGCACACTACTTTATTAAAACGCAATTTTAATTGACTTTAACGCTGACCCCTGCTACACGAAAAAAATATGTGTAGACCTGCGACTGATTTTTCAACCATTGTCTGGCTGCCGATTGTGATGCGGCAGAGAGAGAGAGAAGCATTATTGCCATATAAATATATTATATGACAAATGTATATCATTCATAGATCATTGCTGAACATATTGATGCAATTCATATATATATATAACAAAAAAGGCGACATCTGGCTGTAATGCAGCTAAATGCTCATTACTGGCAACCCAATTAGGTGACAAACACACACACACACACACACACATATACACATATTCTACTAATCATCATTAGAGAGGAGCTCGTGCTATCAACAACATACTTCACGTTGCGATTAAATCGTTTCAAGTTCGTGTCTAGTTCGCGCTGGGTCGTGATTGGCCATGTTAGAGCTGTATTAGCTACTGTTAGCTGTTTATGAATCGTGTAAGCTTCGGCTTAGTCATAGTCATGTTAAGTCGTGCTTAGTAATTAGGCGATGTTTTCGTCTTCATAATTCGCTGTAAGAGGCATATATTTCTGCTGATCAGCCATTTTCTTAACCCTAACACATAGTGTTAGGTTTTTTTACACACAAGAAAACACGACACACGCCCAGCTCTAGACGTCATATCAACTGGCTATGTAAATGTACATGACTTGCGTCAATGCTTCCATACAAAAGATAGTGTAAACAGCGGCTCATCCGCAGCGGCTCATCCGAGAGCGGCCAACGGCTTCAAGCTGTGTCTAATAATAGCCGCAATGCTATTTCATGAGAGCTAATTTTAAAACAGCACATAGTTCATACAAACGAACAAATGTTTATAAATAGCAATTATTAATGGCATGTAATTAACAATTGTCTATTTGTCGTTTGTCGTTTGTCGATTCTTGATTCTTGATTCTTAATACCCGATTGCTTATTAAGTGGCGCCCAGTTTCTCGCATTATGGATTTGGCGTCACTTTAAGGCAAACAATAGCCCCGAGACCCAGACCCAGACACAGACACAGACTCAGACGCCCCGCTAATTGCCAAGCAGCTTAGGGAATAATCCAAGTATATTTGTTGATATTATATCAGTTGCAAATCTTTGTGGCGATTATAATTATAGAACGGCACCGCGGGACGGCTGCTGTGTGCACGGCATCTATATGGAGGGCGCCAGATGGGATATACAGCAGGGCATTATTATGGAATCACGTCTCAAAGAACTTTATCCGCCAATGCCAGTGATCAATATTCGAGTGAGTTTGAAATGCAAATTGCCCAAACTGAATTTCAATGAATGAATCAACTGTGAATTTGGAACGGATCTGTGGCGTCTAAAGAGCGGCGCATGTTTGAATAAATCAAAATCTTAATTCTCGATCGTTTCTTTATACAACACAGGCAATTACCCAAGACAAACAGGACCTGAGGAACATGTACGAATGCCCCGTTTATAAGACACGCACACGCGGCCCAACCTACGTCTGGACCTTTAATCTGAAGACCAAAGATAAGCCAGGCAAATGGACACTGGCGGGCGTTGCGCTACTTCTCCAGACTTAAGATCAACGACAGTCTTTGAGAACATTTATTTAATTATTGAGAATCTAATAGAATTTTATTAATGTAATATCAGACTTGAGTAGCATATCCAATTTTATTCTTCCATCTAGTCAAACAAATTTATTAGAATCTTAAATTATAAACATTTTACGAACTTGGTAGTTTTTTGGAAATTTAACCTTTTCTTAACTCTAAGCACCTTGTTTTTCGAATAAAAATCACCTTCTGGTAGATATGCCTTAGGCGCACTTGCATAAAAACAAACAAATACTAATTTATCTGGGGTATTTGCGGTTTTTTGAGCACCACAAATAATATCAAATATAAATTGGTCCAAAAATGCATATAAACAAATATGTTTATTGTTTACTTTCAATACGAAACGTGTAAAAAAATCCCAAGAAAAACCACAAGCATTAATCAATGTTTATAGAACGCGAACCTTGTGCGATTAGTCAGAGTATTTTGATAGTACATAAAATAAAACGAAACTCTTGAATGAGTTATGAGATAATCGTGTCTAAATACTTGTGAGTGTATAAGCAAATTGATAAGCCAAAAAAAGAAAGACACAAAAATGCTGTACAGACGCACAAAAATGTGAATCTAAATCAAAAGTCAAATGCGTCGCGCTTTCATAAATAACGATCTGCACAAGCAAACACACAAATATTGCCAAAATATTTGAGCATCAAAGGAAACTCATAGACGACGCTGATGTTGCTGCGAGTGGACTGAACTCGTGGCCGTCCCCAAAAAAAAAAAAAAGAGGAGATATATATAATAATGAAAATAAAACAATTTTCAAATATTTCGTTTCTGACGAAATTTGAACATGGCCAGCGAACAGTATTGAGCGAAACGTGAACGTGAACCAATTAACGAAAAAGCTGAGCAAAAAAAAAAAAACAGTACACAAATAAATCAAAAGGAAACTGAAAATTTCAGATGTGACGACTGACTGCATAAAACACATAAATAATTCAAATAATTATAAAAAAAAAATAAAGCCAGCCACGGGCCAAGGGGCTGGAGAACGTGACGCGTGACCCGCCTACAGAGCTATCGATCAAGCGATCAAGCGAGCGATCGGCTGTACCAGCCACACACACACACACACACACGTATACTAAAAGCAACAACAATAAATAAATAAAATAAAATAAAGGCAAAATGTACAAAGCAAACGAAAAGAAAACTGAAGACGACGACACGAGCGTAAATCAATTTTAGCATGGAAAAAATTCTATAAAACTAACAGACACTGTGTGGTCGCACATCATTCGTGTGCGCTACGACGAGCCAGCCCAAAGCCAAAGCCAAAGCCAAGATAGCCAGTCAAACAGTTAGTCAGTTAGTCAGTCAGTCAGTTAGTCAGTCAGTCAACCAATCAGTCAGTTGGGCAGTCCACTGATTTTGATTGATTATTGAACCCCAAACTCGAAACTAAAAATTCGAACGTGCCTTGTTGTGTACGTGTGTGTGTGTGTGTGTGTGTGTGTACACACATACTTATCTCTATCTGTATCTAACAGCGGCCGGCAGACTTTAGCAGCAGTCGCAGCAGCAGCCGCAGCAGCAGAGCAGCAGCCGCATCGCATCCAGCATACAGTTTCAGTCTCCGTCTCAGTCTCAGTCTCAGCCGTCAGTCCAATAGTCAGAGTCAGAGTCAGAGTCAGTGTCAGAGCTCACTCTCTCGCACCCGCCGGCTGGAGGATATCTTTGCGCTTGGTTCAGTTTCAGTTCGCATTCGGACGCGTGCTGTTGCGGCCTCGCCGACAGTGTAAACGGAATCAGTGCGCGCATACTTATAGCAACGACTGTGTCGCGTATTCAACAACAAAAAATCAACATATATATATTAATATATAGCTATACACGTGTCTGAAGTTCAGTGACAATCGCAAGAGTATATAGCGCAGCATAAATACTTACACAAATGTATGCATATACATATTGTACCCGTGTGTAAAAATTTGATCAACAAAAATCAAGCGCCGCCTAATTACTGCTTCTATATAGCATATACGATTCTGACCCGTAAAGTTCAATAAATATAAATAAATTATTGTGCGACCGAGTTTTTAGTTGATGTGTTAGATCACAGCGAACCCATCCTTATAGACACAACGCAAAAATCATATATACAATAAACTAATATATATATATAAACATATATATTACAACAAAATGAAGCTGTTTGCAGTATTCTTGGCTTGTAAGTACTTGCATATTTATTGCGTATTTTATTTGTTGGCTTATTCAAAACTTAAGCGGAAATACTTATTCTTTGCAAAATTTCCTGGTATATTGTCGCAAATTTATCGCGTACTAATTGTTTCAGCAAAAGATTTCATTAAAAAATTTCCCAGAACTCGCAATTAAAGTTTCAGTTTAACCTGCAAATGTGCATAAATTAGTCTGCGGCTTACACTGCGCAACAGGAAACAATATATATTTAGGTTTTGTAAAGCTTTCCTACTTATTTAACGTTTCCCTTACCAAGTACTTTTTCTCTGAAAATTCTTGAAAGGCGTGTTTCCGGCTAATCAAAAACTGCCATAAAATAATTTCAAAATACATATGTAATCCTACTGGAAATATAAAACAGAAATTGCACTTAGATTTCTATTTATTGAAATTTGCCCATTTCTGCAATAATTCCTCCTCATCGGCGAGTAGAACAGAAAATTCGTTTGCGATAAAGTTCTAGCATTAGCGCATAACATTTCCGGAATATATCCTTCTATCAAACGAGTACAACCAATTATTCCCTGAAAGAAAAGTTCTAGCTTCTACACTGGGAAAAGTTAAGACAAGGCAAGAAAAGCTCTGAAATAATTAAACTAATAATTTTGGTACGATAGAAAATATTTATTTCTTTTCGGTTTCCCAATTGTTGTTGCTTGGTGTCATGATTCACATATTTATTAACAATAACAATTTTTTTTTTGCAATCAATAAATATGTAAATGAGCTTAAAATTTCCAAATCAACAAACAACAGAACTGACCTATTTACGCATTGATACTGAATTATTCGCAGTAGTATATAAATTTCATAAATATTCCAAAAGGTTGTTTTAAATCAAAAGAAACAATATTTTAAGTATAATCGAATGTGATAGTAGAAAAGTTGTAAACACTTTTTTGTTTACCTTACGAAATGTGATTATATTTTCACTGTGCAGTGTATATTTCTTTTGTTTACAATTTACACAAGCTTGACTTTATTCAATAAAATTCGAAATAATTTTGGCTCAAAATCAAAATATATTTTTGATATACAAAAATTTGCGGCTTCTATTTAATTATTAAAATTGTAAGATATATAAAAACTAGCTACTTAATCAAATCAACTCACATTATCTCATGATATATAAACATTTATTATTTAACAAATATTATTAATTTATAAAAGTATAATGGTCCATTTCACACAATTTTTGTCTATATTGCGAGTTGCGGAAAATTGTTCTCTTATTTGCTTAATTTAATTTAAATGCACGAAAGTGATTGCTCATTTGGCTAATTAGCTATTGGGTGTTAATTGCGAGATGTTCATGCCTTATGAGTATTGCCGTAGCCGTAGCAGTCCAGACCCGGCTGTGCCTGGTAATACTCAGTATTATGGCCGGCCAATGACATGCCAGACTTTCTGGCGTCTAGAAACGATGGGCGTACGATCGCTCGATCGATGGATCATACGGCTTGCTGAGGTTCAGCTGTGGCAGCTATTGGTGATATCATATTGGGCGGATTATTATGCAGGGCATGTTGTCTAGCTTTTTTATTGCACACTTTCCGCTTAAATGACTAACTATTGTGAATTGTATTTTTTTCTTTTTTTTTGTGCAATTTTATAGTGACGCTCTATGCGCTGACGCTGGTGCAGTGCCTCAGCCTGCCCGATCCCAATGTGAAGTGTGCCATGGAGTGCGACACGCAGGAGAGTAAATATATATGCGCGGCGGATGACAAAGGCACCACCAAAACATATCGCAATGTTTGCATTATGAAAACGGAGAATTGCCTGCAGAATGCGAGTGAGTATAGAACGAGTCACACATCAATTCGTATCTCAAATATGCATATATTTATTCATTGTTTAGACTTTCAAAAGATCAGCGACAAGGAGTGTCCATAGATGCTAGATTCAACTCTAGTTTTGACAGTGCGCAGAGATTTGGAAAGATGAAAAAACTTCAATTTGAAAAAAAAAACAAAAGAAGATTTTTGGGCCCTGTTGCCGCTTAAGTTGTTTGGCTTCTTTTCTTGCGTGGTATTTGTGTGTGATATTTTTAAGTTGTGCTGCAGCAGAATACAAAAAAAAAAACCCTCGAACCATCCCAATCACAGCCCGATACCCTACACCCCTCCACCCCCTCCACCAGCCTTCACAAATATGTAATACATAATGATAATATATTTTGTAATTATTAATTTTAAAATATTTAATAAAGTAATATACATACAGTAAACACAATATAATCTATACAACTCGGAATATACGTATATAAATATTTATATATGTATTTATATGGTATATATATGTAAATGTATGTGTATTGGTAGCAGGGGGAGGATTCGCTTACAACGTGGATGAGCTATTATAAATGATGACTTCATTTCTTTTTTACCCCAACGATTCAAGCTTTTATTCTAATCTCTGGGCAGCTCAGTGCCAACTGATTTGAACTGTAGCACTGAAAATTCAATTAAATCATCTGCCTTGTTTAGCAAATCATTTACTGATAATCCCCATCAACATACACACGCACACACACACACACACACACACGCGCGCGCACACACAGAGTCTGTTGCTACGCATCACGTGTTGAACAAAACTGAATGGATTCGACGTCAGAGTTTTCCATTGGACTCCAAAGTCGCAACAAATAAGCGAATTATTCGCCCTGTTAGCACTTATTATAACTCAATCAGTTGGTTAAATCAATGAATGGAAATTTTAGATCTCTAACCAAGTGAAATCCCGCAAAATGCTCTAAGGTGAAGCCTCTCAGTTGTGCTAAGGTGTCTTTGGAGATTAAGTAATAATATTTGCAAAAATGAAGTTATTTTTAAAAGCTGGAAAGATAAATATCGTATATTTCTTGAATATTTCGCTGCCTAAAGCACATTAATTATTTCTAGCTCAACAGCAAGAGAGCAGGCTTTATTTCCAAGTAAATTCTTTGTATTAACACTTGTTTGTAGAAAACAATCTCAAAGATGACTGCTTAATATAATATACTATAGCTAAGTCGACGATTAGCAACAAGAAGATTTCGTAGTCTCGTGTAAGCTTTAAGTACGCCGAAAAAAAGAAATAAGAAATCTTTCGATTGTAGAAAATATATACTAGCAAATGGAATTGATTAAACGTCATCAAGGGTATTATAGAAAAATATTTCCACAATTTAAAAATAAAGTTAATATTCATTCAAAAGACATACAGATAGCTCTTGAAGGTTTTTCTTAGTAACTTAATATATTCTTATACGTGCAAGCAATACAAATATATTTATATTAGCTGATTTTCTTGGTAAATGCAATTTCGTCTAAGTAAATAAGCTGCTAGAATACCGGCTCAAGTCCCAGTCTGAAGTATTTGTATTGCCATGTGTTAGCTGAAGGACATGGTAAAACAAATTTGTAAGAATTATGAGACATAATAAAATGAAAAATACAAATAAAAATTATAATTATTTATAATAATAATAATAATTATAATAATAATTATAATAAAAAAAATAATAATAATAATTAAAATAATAATAATAATAATAAAAGTAAAATAAAGTAAAATTATGCATAATAATATTTATTAAAACTTAAAAACTTATTTCGTTATTATTATTAAAATATTTGAAAACTGTATAGATTTTGAAACAAATACCAACTTATACAGCACTTTGACTTTGCAAATGGTTCCCAAGAGCAAAGCTCAGTCTAGGGTTGGGTAAATACAACATCCCAAAAAGCTCGCCGCGTAGTAAAAGCTTCGCTCGCTGTGTACGCGTGTGCTTGTGTGTGTGAGTGTGTGTGTATGTGTGTGTGTGTGTGTGTGTGTGTGCATGTGTGTTGCTGTGGTCCATGGGGCGCGCGCAAACTTTTCACATCTTACACCGACAATGCGAAGTTGTTTGGCAATTTTTTGGTTCATTCATCTGGCTGCCAGTGCTGGGCAATCAGTACAACAAATACCGTTAGATGGCACAGACGGAGCTGCGACGGTCGCGCATCGAACAGATTCTAACAACAAGCCAGACGACGTAGACGTGGAAGCCGCATCATTTGGCGCCACATTAAAGTGCTAAGGCCGGGTCGTGACTGTGTGTGTGTGCGTGTATTTTGCTCTATTAGTGTGCGTGTGCGTATGCGTGTGCGTGTGTGCGCGTGTATTTGATTGTGTGATTTCGCGCGCTTTTGTGTCGCCTGTTTTTACTGTTTATCTTGGCCACTGCCTTAGCCCCGGCTCGAACAAAGGCAGCTGAGCGGCAGCGTGAAAAAGGACGTCCCGTGGCCATCCAGGATTTCAACTGCGTGCTATTTGCGGGCATATTGATCAACTGTTGGCAATTAAATTCAATTACAGCTTTAATTAGGCATTTTATGGCTAACAGACAACAAAAGCTCATCACGATTTAAACCAGAGAACGGCACGGGGTAAGTGTTAGTGTTAGTGTTAGTCCCGGATCAGCTACCACCTCCATATGGCCGCATAAATCAATTATGGAGTCGCCCAAAGCCTGCCAGCTGCCAGCTGACAGCCCGGATAGATGGGCGCTCAGGCTAAACGCACTTAAACCTGTGTGCACCACAGCGTCAAACTGCCGTTTATTTATTTTATTTTATTTATTTTTTTTTTTTTTTGTGTCTTTTATTTTATAAAAGGTGCGTTCATTGTGTGCCAAAGCCACGCGAATGGTTGAAAAGGGTATCGTCGTGCTACTAGTTGTTGGCAAATGGAATTTCATTATAATGTTTAAATAGGTCCAGTACCAGCTTATCAAATTGGACTGCGTTCCAATTGAAGCCACAGACTTTACTGTGTACTTTAAATCTATTCTGTAGACAAGGAATTCGAATAGTATGTTTAATGCAAATTCAATAAGAACCTATCCCATTTGGAGTCTGGTCTGAGGTAGTCCAACAACTCTATAAAACATATAGAAAGTTTATAGTCTTTTTTAAGGGATCTTTAGTATGGAAAAAAAAATTCTTTTAAGTTTACATATTAAATATGTTCAGCATTGAAGTAAATTTAAGAATAATATAAATTGAAATTTAATTATCTTTCATATCTTAATGAAAAATTCTTAGTTAAATCTAAAGTTATGATATTTGTAGAATAAGAAAGCAGAGGGGGGATTTTAATAAATATATAAAACATATTAGTCTTTGGTTACAGTGCATTTCGTAAACGAATATTCTGTTCCAATGCATTTTTGCGTGTTCATTAGAGCCACATCAATCTCTATTCAAATACACTTCATGCCTTTCAGTTCAGTTTCAGGTTTGAGTTTAACGAAACTAAATAAAGCTGTTTTCTTTTTTTAAAGTCAGAATCCCTTATTCGCCTTTAACACATTTGCCACATCAAATATTCCCCAGAGAATTTAACATATTTCGATCAACGCCGAACTTGGGGAAAGTTAAAAGCATTTAGCATTATTTTTATGACAGACGCATTTGCATATTATGAATAAGACATTATGTTTCAATGAAATCTTTCTCTGTTTTTTATGATTTGCCATAAAAATAGGGGAAGTCCCAAAATGCTTGGCGCTTGATTTAGGAATATTATCATGGGTCAGTTATATTGTTGTGGTTCATATTTAATTGAGATGGCCTTCAGTTGGTTGGGTTATTCAAGCAAATAAAGTTGTTAGGTCTTGGATTGAATGTTGAATAGTATTTAGAGCAACATCGGCCACATTTTCCTGTCTAACTTTACCTCCTTGTGAGCCGTATAAATTTTATTATATATTCCATATAGTTCTTTGCATTCTCTTATGAACTTTTGCTTAAAATATTCGCCGCACTTCATGCATAAAATTTTCAGACACGACTCTCAGCGTTATACGCCAGCGTTTATAGTATTATAGTTGATAGTTATTTTAGTGGCTTTATGCATTAGCATAAATATCTGCAAGGGCTTTAAAGAGCTCACTTCGACTCAGAGCTGTTTCACACATGGCCAATTAATATATATTCCTGCTCGAGAAGCTGACACTAATCCTAACTGGCAGCCTGCAAAGCCGGCAAATCCCGAGTGTATACTGCAGATTAGCAGCCATTGAAATATGTCGATTAAATAGACGTAGGAAAGTGTTTAAAGGGTTTATCACAGCTCCCTTAGACCAGCCCAATTGGATTTACGTGCAGGATCAAGGTTGAAGGTGCGCCATTTTGGGCATTCTGCCAGCACACATTAATTATGTTTGAATATTTAGCTTGACAGCTGGAAGATTTATTATGCTCATCTCACATATATGTTTCAATGATAAATGGTTATGGAATATTTGAAACATGCTGACAATAACCCTTTAATATATATTCATAAGTATATAGTCTGTGTGTTCCCATATATACGTTTTTATGCTAGATAAGGATTGGCCTTTATCTCCGATCTGATAAAGTTATACACTTATATACTTCCATATCTTATAGCTTTCGAGTCAACTACTTTCTGTTGAGTCCAACTTTATCGAACTACTATAAACATACATTTATTTTATTTATTTATTTATTAATGGTCGACAAAACGAGTGTCTTCCTCATTATTCAAAAGATTGTACAATAGAATTATATGCTAAAAGCCTAGTTAAGGGATACAATTTTCTAAATAGCATCACCGACCGATGGAGGTGTTTTATTTGCCAGTCCGGCCAGCTATGCCCCTTTTCACAGCTAATTTTGTCAGTGACGCTATTAGAGCCTACATCTAAGCAGAAGGTTGTAAGTAGGAAAAAAGTGATCTCAAGTAAAATTAAAAATAATCTTAATTTGCTATATTAATAAAGAAAATACAATAAATAGGAAAAAAGAAAGTAAGAAAATTGTTAATAAAGTAAAGCAATGTAAGTTAGATAAAGAGTGTTAAGTAGATAGGACAAAGAGAAAAGTAATAGGAAATCACCGACCCGGTGTGGGAAAATTTTTCAGCCTGTCCGGCTAGCTTTTGTTGTTCTATATTAACCAACACTGGAAAATAACTAGGCACCTTACTTAAGAGCAGAGTAGTATTAACGATGGACTATATATTATTCTTTTTATTATGATGTATTATAATTTTTATGATTATAAAGTTTTATATAATTACATTTTTTCATTATATTTTGAAAACATTTCAATCCTATATCTTAGATCAAAATGATAAACAACCATTCTTAAATATTTCCATTGTCGTTTAAAATTGTCTGTTAAACATAATAGATCACATTTATAAGCATAGCGACCATTAAAAACTCGTTTTGTATTACATGCTACCTGCTATATAGTATATTTGTGTATATGTGTGTGCGAGTGTATGTGTGTGAGTGCGTGTGTGTATATGTGTTTTGCTGTTAGTGAATGCGCGACTGACTTGACTTACAATTAGGGCAATCACAAGGAATCACTGCAGATGACGAAACATGGTGGAAAACGTGCGTCTTCAAATTGATGCATTGTTTGCTTTTTTGTTGTTGTTGTTTTTTTTTAGAATTACGATGGAAATGCCGTTACCGTAACCGGGTGCCAGGCTCCATCCGGGCCAAGCACGCAAATTCAACGGCAAATGGAAAACTTTGCACCATAGAAATAATTTAGACAATGGGCCACTCGTGCGCAAATGCCATGCCTAAGCGAAATGATTGCGAATGCGAAAGAGCATGTTCTTGCTGTGTATGCGACACGGATACACACACACACACGAACACACACACACACACACAGATCCACACACTCGCACTCACACTCACGCACACTTGATGACCAATCCAAGCGGAAATAGAGGCGACAATTTTAGTGCTATTTTGTTTTTTGTTTTTTCGGTACATCATTTGGGCGTTATATGGGTGTGGCTAAGTGGAAGAGCGAACATTGAACAATCATGGCATCTCTCTATCTTGTGGCCACACTCATAACCAGCGTGTCATTGTGTCCGTTTGAGTGTTTTCCGGCTGTTCAACACATGTTCGCACCTGGCTTCAAGCACACACACCTCAACCGCATCCATGTTGAGTCCAGCAGACATGTGTCGCAGTAGGGTCGAGTCAGCTCGCACTTCTGTCCATTTAACTGGCCTCAAGGACTCGTCAGCATGCCAGCAATAAGTGGAGCAGATTGAACGCACTGATGAGTATCGCTTTCATTGCGCGCACAGCCCCAAGCGCGGCAGCCGGGACTCCAGCCTTTGCTCTGGCCAAAGCCCAGCTGCCTGTATTCCCATTCGCCGCATACTAAAAAGTTTTCCCAATGTTGTTGGGGCAATTGTGGAGTCGGGGCGCGCATATGTGTTGTGCTTCAACTATTCGCCCTGTTCATCATTTAAATGCGGTTTTCTATTAGTTTATTATGACTCGCAAATCTTTGGGCTATCCATAAATCGCATCAATTTATTCAGCTTAACTTGAATCTGCACCAACTTTCTCAATAATTTTTTCAATATTCTATACGAGTCTTAAAATCCTTTTTGTTTCAGCCCCTAAAGTTTTGGGTCCGGATTTGCGTTTGCGTTGAACTAAAGCCTTTCGGTTTTCATTGAAATCAATTTTATATTTTATTTCATTTTTTCCTTTCTCTCATACCCCTTCTAATATACCCTTGTAGAGAGTATTATAAATTTGTCGTTCTGTTGGATCCGACCATAAAAATAGCACTGTATCATATAGCTGACATAGGAACAATCGGTTGGCAACTATTAAAATTTATTCTTTGCATATGGCATTTCTTAAGTTTTTCTTATAAATTTATCTGAAACAATTACCTACATATATTTCTTCTAAATGGCTTTTTTTGTTGTGTAGTCTCTTAATCTTTCTCATAAATATTTCTCAAAACTTATCTTTTCAACTTTTATTATTTAATCTTGTTTTAAGTACCCAACGTTTTGGCGTTAGCCTAAGCTACTGCATTATAAATGACTAAAATGTAATTTTTTATTATTTATTATTAAATCTTTAAGTCTTTTTAAGCCTCAAAACTTTTTCTTAAGCAACTTTCAAATGTCTTAATCCAATCCTTGTTTTAGACAGAAAAAATGCATATCAAATATTTGACACGCCCCAAGAATCTTTTATTGCTTTCACTTTTATTAGTATTTGAAAAATGTCAAACGGCCTGTCCAGTGTCTTCAAAAGGATAAACTTTTATTAGAAATTCTCGTATACACATATATATGTCAATAGATCAAAGTGCAATTGTGAGATTTGCCCTTTTGTGCCTGTAATTGAGTTTGTTTGCGATACGTGCAAATTTTGTAAATTTATAAATCTGAACTGTAATCAAATTGCGTTTCCTTAGAAATTGCTTCGGATAGCTTTTTCATTTTATTTAAAGCAAAGTCTGAGAAATTGCTCGGTGGGCGTCGCTGGGCGCGATAATAAATCGCTTTGAGAAGCGGCAATTAGGGCTCATGGCAAAACTTTACCTGATGATTTACAGCAAAAGTACCGAAACTTTCAAACTAATAAGAGGATTACATTGAAGCAACTAACTATTATAAATCAAAAGCTGTTTAAGCTAATTGAGGCTTGTTGCTTGGTAAACCTTAATAAATTAATGAGTTCCTAGCATTCGCAATTGAAAAATATTCTGCTGAGCTTCTGCTGTGTTGTGGAAAACAAGCCAGCAGTTGACCATAAAATAGAGTCAAATGATGAGCAATTCTGAAAATGTATACATATATGTGAAAATATATAACTCTGCGGATGCCTCATTTGTAAAATAGTTGAATAATAAAGCCGCAATTCATGTGGGGCTAGCTTTAAGTGGAAATTGAAACTAGTAAAAGTGCTTTAGACGAGAGGTCACGACGAGTTGATACCCTGTGACCAGTTAACTTGAGGTACATGCTCTGAGTCCCACACTATGAAAAATTACTCTCCGATCATCCATTTTACAGAGAGCTTTTCATAATGAGCTTATTTTAAAAGTGATATTAGTTGTTTAATTGGAGGCAGTTTTATCCGATAACCAAGATCTTCGCAAAGAATTTCAGAGTATTAAAGGATATTTTCTCTTCTTTCATTTCATTATACCTTCTTTAACCAATTCTTTAATTGTTGCTAGGTATCAAAAATATAAAAAATTGACTTAACCAAAAAAAAAAACAGAAGATGAGATATGCTACAATTTAATTATTGCTCATGCGCTAAAGTCAAAGGGAACAGGCAACTTCGGGTATTGCGAATTTTTGGTTAGCAAAATTGAAGCCCCGGCACAGGTTGGACAGACACGTATGCCTGCCACGTAGGTGGCATGCAATTGGGACATTGGGATATATGTAGCACATGCTGGGCCGGGACTCATTAAACTTGCCACGCCTCGAGGCGGACAAACAATGCTGGGCTCAAATGGAGCGCAGCAAGCATTCCAAATGCAGTTCACAGAACTTGGCCCAAATGCAATTCTTGAATTGCTGCACACAAGCTCGCACGTTGGGCCCAGAAGTGCCGCAAGAGCTTGAGGTGAAAGCTTTGTGCACACGCACACACATGGAAACCCACACGAGTTGGAAGCTACTTACACTAATTACACAAATTGAACGCAATTTATTTGTTACTCCACGTCTCGCGTGCCGTTTTCGTTCTACCTGCTGCAGCACGCTCAATGTGCCGACAATTTTGTTAATATTAAATATCTACATGCATATTAATTATATGCATAATTACACAACAAGGTCGGCAGCTGTGAGCCCGTGTGTGCCTGTGTGTGTCATAATTATAAAGTGGCTGACGCAGCGTATACGCAACGTGTTTTTGGCAGTTTCGCCTGTGCCGCTTTGCCAGGCGTTTTGTGTTGTGGGCTGTGATTTTTTCTGTTGTAATTGAGCTCACACGTACACAGATACGCCGACAGACACACTTACACACACACACACCCACACACATAACCACTTGCACACACTTGAGTAGTTGCTATATAAGTACTTGTAGCCGCATTTTAATTGCAACACGGCTTGCTTTTTTCCTTCACAGCGCATAAACATAAACCTAAGCGGATCACAAAGAGCAGGCAATTCTAATATTTGAAGTTTTCTGCTGGGAGCACAACTAGATTCGCCGGAGGTTGAGCCAAACGGAAACAAAGCAAATACAACAAGATGGCGGGCGGCGGCAGGACTGCCGGCAAATACGGTTATTCAGACAACAATTATTACAGCAGTAAGTAGCTTACACGAGTGCACACACACTTGCACAACAAGGCATAAACAGTTACTGGAGAGCGCTCAAAATCTTTGGCAACTTCATTAGTTTGGCTCTGTCCATATGGCACAGTGGTTGTATGGAAATGTATACTATTTTAATTTGATTTATTTTATTTCTGGATATATTTTCTTCTTGATAATATTAATAATGCCAAATTTTTCGAATATTTTGAGAACTATTTTAGATGAATTCTGAAAAATGTATATAATTTAAAAATAAATAACAAGTGGTCACATGGTAATATGTATATTATTTATTTTATTTTTTTTGGAAATATTTTCTATTTAATAATATTTGGAAATATTGATTTAAAAAAAGCAATTTAAACTTTTTGATATTTTAGTTTGGTTGTAAAATAATATACCTTATGGATCATTTCAATCGATTGGCAATAATTCAATTGTACAAATATTTGAATAATTTTTTTTGTCATTTATAGAAATGTTTTGAGTACGATTGTGAAGCCAGTTTTCTGTGTGTTATTTTTTATATATATTTCAAATGATAATAACTCTCAATTATCTGAACACTAAATGCTCTAAAAATATGAAAAGCATTGTACATATCAGACAGTTCGAGTTTCATTTGATTTTCATTTCATTGCCATCATTTATTATATTTTTATTCAGAGTAATATATTCTATGAACGCAAATCAAACTTTTTAAGTGAATGGTTCGGTTTTTTTTTTATTTTTGTGGTACTTAAACTACTTTTTTTTACAACTCTAGACTTTAAGACCTTATCATCCACAATAATCGGAAAACCCACCATTCTTACATTATTTCTTTGATTTTTTGTGTTATCTGCTATCGCTTGGGTGTGTGTTGTATTGTCCTCCATGTTCACATCATACCCACGCACATGAATAGAGGCTTACGCTTGTGGCTATTGTCCTCATCATTGAGAGCATCAACAACAACATTTGGCAGCTTTAGTGGATCCGCCAGCCAGCGGCGACGTCTTGACGTCTGCCTTCTCGTTGTTGTTGTTGTTGTAGTTGTTGTTGTTGATGAACTGCCGCTGCGTGGCATGCCCCACAGTAATCAGTCTGGAAAAGCGTGTTTATATGTATTTCTTTTGCTTTTTTATACTTTTATTTCTTTTATTTATATTCTTATTTTTGGCCACTTACCCAGACGTGTTTTTATTACATTTCTGTTTCGTTGCGTTTCGCATTCATGTAAGCAAATGTTGCGTTGGGGAGTGTATATATATATATATATATATGTACATGTACTACAAGGAGTCTGTTTGTGCGCCTTTGTGCACTGGTTATCATTCACCAGTGGCCAGAAATGGAATTTCAAATGCAGACCAGGACTTTAGCTAAGAGACGATATAACGTAGGTAATATCTATGAAAGAGCGGCAAGAAGCTGCTGGCATGCGACTTTTTGCTGTGTTTGCATAAAGTTTTGTTTTCCTGTTGCCTCAAAAGGTCCCCTCTTAACTGAGTTGCTGCCCTTATGAACGCCTCCGGGCCACCCGCTGGCCCCACTTGTGTTTACGTGAGGCACTTTTGTTGTAGTGTTGTCTGAGCCCGGAGCTTTGTGCTTTTGTATAACTTTATCATAGTTTCTGATTGCCACAAATTGTGCGTAAATTATGTATTGTGATCTGCCCATGATATACATTTATATGCAATAAATATATATGTATGTATTACTATGTCAAATGTGCGCCGAAAATCCACAGTACAAAGACCACCTGTCAGGCGGGGCGAGTGCTGTGAGGGGCAAAAACGACCTTGTTAAAGTAAGCTCCTCGCCCGCAGTGTTGGTAAACAGCCTGAAATGCGTATAAAATAAGTTGGCAAGCTTGGCTGCGGTGACTCCCTTTGGATTTGTCAATATAATTGAAAAGAAATAACAATTTTATTAAGCTTGTCGTGATAATGGGCTGCCAAATGTTTGTTGTTATTATATTTGCCCAACAATTTACCCTGATATTTATTTAATGCTTACAAATTTAATTTGACTTCGATTTTGGTTGCTCTGACTAAGTGAATACCAAGTGTGAAAACATTTTCAAATTTTCCCAACTTTTGTTGACCGAAGAATTTAGAGAAAAATGATTTTTGGTTGAGTAGATAGTTTCCTATCTAAGCATATATAATTCCTCCTTAGCTCCGTCGGGGAAAACCACACATGTCGGATATACAATCAAGCCCGAGGTCTTGGCGTTAAGCCGGAGTAAGGCTAAGTGTCCATAGGGTTGGCAATATTCCAGCCATGGCCTAAAGAGTTAACCAAGTTATTAACACACACGCACACCCACACCCAAACACAAGAACTTTGAAATGCTTGTCAAACACATTGCCTTGCTGCCAACATAGCCACAATTGCTTTCGGAGGCGTGCTGACCGGCAGACGATAGGCCAAGCTTATAGAAGGCCTAAAAGGCAGAGTGCGCAGCAATGGATGTTGCTGAAAAGCCAGCGGCTGCGGCAAGTGTAGATAAATGTTATACAAAGGGCACAATCCAATAGGAAGTATGCCTTATTTGATTACCGTTTTACAGAGTGTGGGTTGCTTGTTAAACTTGTATTCCAATAACCAATTTATATTAGAATTCCTTTAGCTAACTGAGCAGGAAAGCTGCAGGTGGTTCAAACCCTAGACTAGTGTATGTACTGTTGTCTTAGTTAAAGGCTACAGTAATATGTGCTATTAGGAGAAACATGTTCGATTTAATAGAATAATTATTAATCATAGATTAAACCTTAAAAACCAAAATAATCAAATTTTTTTGTTGTATGATGGCAGCAAGTTTGCCCCAGCAATGATACTTAATACCGATACAAATTGAATAAAACTCGTTATATATTTTATATATCACTTTAAGCATTAAATAAAAGTTGGTAGAAGGTTTAGGGTGTCCTTAAATCGGACACTCCCAGCTGGGCATATATTATGTTTTGAGTTATCTGCAAGGCTATTTCCAGATTTCAATTTGGTATGTAAACAATAGAATATGCCCAGATTTAACCGAAATAATTTCCATTTTTCCTTGTTCTTTAAATGCTATAGTGCATTTCTTAACATTCATTGCGAAACTTTTTTCGTTTTTATATACAGGAGAAAAGAAACAAAATAAAATATTAATTACATTTTTTCATGTTGAAGAGCTAGTGAAATCTTAAATCGTCTCTTCTAACATTCCTGGTTTTAACGACTCTATAAATCATCTGGGAATTTTTTGGTGCCGGGATAGACAACGTAACCCAAGGTCAGCGCGTTCACCCAGAGCAAAAGGAAGGACCAAATCGTTGGCAATATTCCAGCGATAGCCTAGAGAAGCGAACAGAAGTTAGTAGTAGACCTGAAAACTTGAATGTTTCTGTACTTGTTCTCACCAAATACTTTGTCTTGATGAAAGCATATCCACAAATAATAGCATTAGGCGGAGTGCTGACCGGCAGATGGTATGCCGTGCTAATGGCCAGAGCGGAGGGCAGGGTCAGCAGCAATGGATGCGTTTTAATACTGATGGCCTGTGTGGCAGGGAAAGCATGGGTACGGGTAACACACGAAAGTATCTTTAAACATTTTGCTAGAATTACCATTTCACTGAATATGGGTATGAGGATGTTGCAAATGGCCACGTTGGAGGCGAAGGCAGTGCAGAAAAGACTTATCAGAATGCAGACGCCAATTGTGGCAAAGGTTGGAAGTGATTTAATGAATGACATTTTTTCGCCCAACATCTTGGCCATGCCGCTGCGTTTGCTGCCCTCGGCCAGAGCAAAGCCGCCACCTAAACAGGGAAGTACAGTAGTAACTTCATATGTACGCCAGTCTAGTAGTTTAGCTTACCGAGCAAAAAGCACAGGCCCCACGGTGTGTGCTTTTGTATGTACACCCAGGAGAGGCAAGCGTCCATGGTGCGGCCCGTGAAGGGTGCTGTCAGGAGTAGATATATTAGACGAGGCGCTTCCGAGCTAAGATTGGCAAACTTACCTTTACCGCAGCAGTACTTAAAGAACGTATACTGTGTGGGCAGGGCAAACAAGAGGACAACCGACAGCATGACTGGCGTCGAGCTGCCTATGGCCCTAGGTGGATGCAACAGTCGACCATTAGTGAGGAACAATGGACAAAACTAGAGTACTCTAGTCGGTAGTGTCCGATTAGGAGATATTCCGAATTCGGGCCAAGCTGCCGGAAAAGCTGCATACAAAGTCTGGTGTTTGTGGCTCTAACAATTTTCGAGATATGCTGAAAGAAGCATATCTCAAAATCGATATTTATCGCTTAAAATGAAAATGGAAACAGATTTCAATTTAAAATATGACAAACACGATCTGCGCGTGATATACAAGAATATATATTATACACAGACCGAACGACTCGGCGTTCTGTGTGACCTTTTCTTAAATGGATTTTTTAAGGATTCGGCGTATTAAATGAATATATATATAGAATAAAATTTGACACTCACTTGGCGTTAAGAAAATCACCCCAGCCCATTACGAATCCGGGCTTCTTGAAGAAGAGCAATAGAATCATGAAGACAAATAGTATGGCCACCTGAATCTCATGGCATGTCATGGGACCCAGCTCCTTAAAACGCTGGACGACCACCTGTTTCACCACATCCTTATTTTCAGAGCCGCGCTTTATCTGCTGGCCGATGTTGCTGTTCGGTCGACACAGGCCCATGTGCGTTACTTGCAGTGAAAAGTACAAGAGAATCACATTGACGAACACAACCAGCGGAATCGCATACATCATAAACTTGGGAAAGTCCACCTTTTCCTGGGAGTTGGGAAAGCGACTGCAAACAGCTCTACATTAACTCAACTATTCCCCCAAATTGATAGTGTCGCTTACGTGTCGTATAGACCCTTAAAGGTGAGATTTGTTCCCGTGCCAATGAGCGTGCCGCAGCCCCCAATTGTGGCCGCATAGGCAATGCCGAAATAGAATGCCATCGATATTATGGAGGGATGCGGTGGACTAAGCAAAACGGAATCAGATTAAACTCTTGTCTAATACACATAGAATAAGGTGTTTGTGGTACTCACTCGCCCTCCTCCATGGGCTGCTCCTCTTGTGTCATGCTGACTTGAAATATATTTTGCTATATAAAATATTAGATTTCGATTGATCTGTGAAATAGTTTGAACATTTGTCTAATATCACTTACGGCTTCCATTTCCATGAGCACAGCCTTAACAATGGGGCACATCATGGCAGTAGCTGCCGAATTTGATATCCAAAGCGATATAAAGCAGGTGACCGCAACGAGACCTAAATGCAAACTGGAAGAAGGGGGACAATCACACAGCTCCATTTGATAGACCTCGATTCATCTGAACCCTTACCGTCTGGGACTGCAGCCAACCAATAGAATTGTACCCAGCGCGATGCGCTGATGCAGATTGCTGTACTCCACGGCCAGAGCAACAATGAGACCACCCAAAAACATAACTAAGGTATCCGTAAAGAACAGCTGGCATACATCAAAGGAGCTCTAAATGAAGTAGTTAATCACAGATCGTATCTGATGCAGTTCCCTACCCACCATTATGCTGAACAGCGGCAGAAAGACCACCGGAAATATGGATGTCAGATAGAGTGGGATGCATTCTGTTATCCAGAAGAGCGCCATGTTCAGCACCAGATACATGCACTTGTACTCCTAATGAATGGAGACAGGGACAGAGGGAGATAGCATCTAGGTGGGCCAAATCATGTTCGCCAACTTACTGGTGACTGTATGCTAAAGGCATAAAACAAAACAGGCAAGGTAACCAATGGAATGATGATAGTCCCCTTGCCCCTCCAATGAAGCTTGCAGCATTGCTTCAAGCTTCTCCCAGTCGAGATTTTCTCCTCGCTGCGCGCAGGAAAATGGCGAATACATTTGAGGAATATTTAATTGCACTCTATACTATACTCACTCGGCCATTGTTAGCTCTGTTGCCTTTTAATTTGTATATTGAATTTGTACGCACTGTAATTTATAATAAAAATAAACGAACAATACAACTATACTCTGATTTAACTACGCTGCATCATAAATTTGATCTAATTTGAAAAACAAGTTTTCAGGCAAGGCCAACTTGGAGTTCATTTGAAAGCGTACGAGAGATCGAGAAATGTTGTAGTTAAGAATCTTGTTAGCATGGCACAGAGTTAACAATTATACTTTGGCCTTTGACTAGCACAAGTCTAGGATTTTAAACTGCAACCTTGCCGAGTTCATTTGGACAGCTCATTTGCCGAAAATAGCCCAAGGACTTGATTCTGTAATAAGCTCTATTCTCCTTCTGCCGACCCAAATATGGCTTTCGCGTTTATTGTTTGGCATGCAAAACTACAACTGTGCCCGGCCATGCCCACAGGCTGTTGCATATTTGATGCTAAATCTGGAGCCGGCAACGCTTTGAAGTTATATAATTGACAATTTCCTTTCTGCACTTACCACCCCAACAGCGAAGTCCTGGTAAGGTATATTGAAATTAAAGCGTATGTCCTAGCAGACAGGCATTAAAGCCAAAGCCAAGCAGAGGAAGCCCAGAAGCTGAGGGGCTGGAGTCAGAAAAATGTTCGTGAACACAGAAGCAGAAGCTACGCAACCTAATCCAAGTTGACTCTCCCCCTGCACAGGATGTGTATATATGTACTTTTATATATATATTTGCTTGTTTGTAAAAAGCTTCAATCAGAACAAATCACGTTGAGCTGTTTGAGCAGAAATTCTCAAATGCAGGGCTCGCACTCACCACCAAAAACAGAATTATTATTACGACAAATATCGGCCGCATCCATAATAACAATACAAATAGGTTTATTGACCGTATCCGCTGGCAGAAACAATAAACGAAATTTAATACAAAAATCTATGGCCTCCATGGGGATAGAATATCTAAAATGTTGACACACGGCCCATTTGCCCCATTTACTCGCACTCCGTAAATCTCAATAATTCACGGTTTGTTTCTTTCGTATGCCAATTCGCATTTAGATTTCAATATTTGTGTCTTGTGCTTGTTTCTTGCATATAGCATAACGCAGCCCTGCATTTGATATTTCTATCTATTTTTTTTCTATTTCACAATTTGCGTTTTGACAGCTCAATTTTTGTGTCTATTTTTTGCTGGATATCCCATAAATTATTTTACAGTTTTTGTTGGGAGGCGTTTTGTGCAGCTTTTCATAGTTTCACAAACTTTTTGGGGTCTTCAGTAAAAAACAATAAAAAAGCAGAAAATTATTTAAATGTTTTCACACAATCTGCAAAGCCATGCAACAACGAGCAGAGCCCGAAATCGAGAACACAATATATATTTCCGTAAGGAGACATTTCTGGCCTCACAATGTGTATATACTGATCAGAAATTTCCTATATATTCTCGGTCTTTATCAACAGCCGAGTCGCTGTGGCCTTCTCGCAATGTCCACCTGTGTTTTATAAGTAGAAGGAATCTGGATTTCCATGAAATTCTTTCCGTCTTTCAATCTAAATCTGCCAAGGATATTCGTTTGTTTTATTTTTTTTTCTGCTGCTAAAGTTCTAGCTCAGATTTAGCTGAACTTAAAGCCTGTACATTTTAATTTCAAACTCGCATTTGTTTTAATTATCTTTCCAAGTGGCTTGCCTTTAAAACTTTGACAAAATATTATTTTAGGCGTCGCGACATTTTTGAATTGTAATTTATGAATATTTTTGGTTTTCTTGCCAAGCGAGGCCAGAGCAGATCCTACAGTTCCGCATACTTTTTATATCTATAGTAAAGCTCGTATTTTTAATACTGATACTAATTCCTTATTAGTTCTTATATATATATGTAAAATGTAAAATATTTGTTAAATTTGTTTGTAACAGTTTCATATTTTATTTATTGAAAATATTGCATGTCATACGATATATGAAAATATATGCAAGCTGCGGGCCGAAATTGGCATCTACCAAGATTTGGTGCCAAAGTTACTTTCGCTTTGGTGCCGTGTCTTACGTGCAAAGATATTTATTTGAGCAGAATACATACATACATAGAGATAATATTAATGCACATAATTCAAAGCAGCTTTTGGGCAAGAAAAAGTTGCCTACATTTGGGGGCAGGTTGAGAAAAAATCCAAGAACATGCTTAAAGGACACTTGACGACAGACAAGCACATTAACCACGCCATTTGATTTCAATTTATTAGGCCACACAGTCATCAGATCGTTAAAAGGCGACTCGAGTTCAACTTACCGACGTCATTTAAGCCATCTAATTAACAGATCCACACAACGGCTGCCCGGCCCCGACCAATGCCCGGCGACACTTTGGCTGACTGTATAAACGATTTTAATTTTCGCAAGATATTCTGCTGGAGAAGGGCGAATCCTTCATCGATTATGTGTTAAATTACGCAGAGAGCAAGCATCTGGCTAAATGGGGCGCACGGAAAAAAGCGGCCGTCATTTGCCAAAAGGCGGAGCCAAGAAATATCTGCGCACATATGTTTATATTGTATTACGTTTATAAAGCTAATCAAATTGAATGCAAGTGAAGCGAAATTTCATCAAAACTTGCTTATTGAACATCTGGCTCTTCTTCGTAATACAAGCTCGAAGACTCAATTCACTTATAAAGAAAATACTTACTTAGCAAAAAGAAAAAGCGGAAAACTCTTAAAATTATGCTAACTTATTTCACGGTACAAAAATACAAGACAGTGTCAAATATTGTCCACCTTTTAAAGAGCACAATAAAATATATCATTTATATACGACTTTGCGTGTCTCTTTTTGGCATTATTTTGCGCTGCAAGCTAAAAATGGCATTAATAATCCACATACAGGAATCGTAAAACTTTGATACATCTGTTACAATAAAAGCGAATTGCGAATCCAAATTTAATTTAATTTTTTATGTCCTTTGTTCTATATGTGAGTGTGCGTGTGCGAGCGTTTGTTATTTATTTTAGATGGCATGCCAGAACATGTGTACATTTATGCTTGGTTATTATTTATTTTTATAACAATGCAATTTGTCAGAATATGCGCACATATATTTTCTGTTTATCTACCACGAATATGCATGAGTCCCAGCAAACCGAATTGTTGTTATTGACACGAGCCGCCTCCAGCAGCCGTAACTAAACCCAGCAGCCACACCTCAACGCAGTCACAACGACAAATGTTGGGCAATTTGTCAGAGCCATTACGAAATCTTAATCTCTTTACATTTTGTTTATTTCGCCTCCTGTCTCTCTGCAGGTCACTCCTACAAGAGTATCAACGACGAAATCATACTGGTCAGCATCATAATGGGCATTACGATTCTCGTGCTGATTACCATTGCGCTGTGCTACATTGCGTATGAGAAATGCCACAAGAAGCGTGAATATTTTATCAATGCCTAACGGGTGCCCGCCACAGCCACAGCCACAGCAACAACAACAACAACAACAGCTGGAACTAAAAGAATAAGAACACTAAAAAAAAGGAACGACACACAAAGGGGAAAATGGCAAGGTCAAATGTCAACTGTGCTGCTGCTGCTGCAACTGCAACAATGTTGACGTTGACGATTAAGTTGGCCAACGCGAACGCTTGTTTTCAAGCCAACCGTGTTTGGCCCCAGCTTACACTACACACACACACACACACACACACACACACACACTCATACAGACCTTATACTCGCACGTACACTAAAAAATGCTGAAATTTTGCGAAGCATTTTCCCATTTTCTTACATATGCATTGTGTGTATCATTTCTTTTTTTTTTTTGGGTATTCATTGGATTTCCCTCGATTTCGAGTGCAGCCGAAACAGCGCAAAATGGCGCGCTCCCAAATTGGCATAAATATACATATAGATATATAAGTATATAGGTATATAGCTTATTCCAGTGTGCAGCAAGCACAGTGTTGCAAAATGATTTACAATTGAGTTGAGCTAGCAAAGTTTCTAGATTATTTGATAAATTCAACTTATTGTATTTAATTTAAATTTTAATATTCATAATTATTTTATTCATATTAATTCATGCAAAATTGTTAAGAAAATGTATATATATATATGACATATTCATTTCTAATTAAATTATTTTTGTTATTATTTATTTAAGAAAAATGTATTGTACCTGATTTAAATTAAAATTTAAATGCTTTTTTTATTCATATGTATTCTTGCAAAATTGTTAAGACAAATTAAATATATTAATTTCTAATTAAACTATTTTTATTATTATTTATTTAAGAAAAATGTATTTAATTTTCATAAAATGCACATTATCTTTGCAACATTATTTAAAATTGTCCACTCCACGCTGCACAACCAATTTGTGCTGCACAAAATTGTATCTATAGTTATGGACTCAAGTGCAGCTTATCTGCTTTTGATTTTAATTAAACTGGCTGCAATTTGGGTTCAATTTAAGTACATAGTATTACAATGGAAAATGCAAAATTCTTGAACTTTTCGATGGCTAACATTCATAGACCTTCGAGCCAAAAGCGAACGCTGCGCGTTTTCTGTGCTGTCGATATTGCTGATGCAGATGCCAATTTCAAGTATTGACAGCGAGGGAGCATTTAACCACCAAAGGAAAACAGACAAACCGACATACAGGCAGACAGACGGAAAGCCAAAACGAACGAACCGAGTGAAGTGAGTTTTCTTATTTGCCCGCTCTTCCTATCTCTTTTTTTTCCGCTGGCTTGAGGCTATAATAATAAAAACAGTAACGGAAACTGGTTGCAATGCACACGAACAAAGCGCGAGGAAACAATAAAAAAAAGTGTCGCATAACAATTGTCGGACAACAAAACGAGAGCTGCCGGGAGGGTTCCAGGAAGCACTCAGATAAGGGGCAGGCTGCGATGGCCAAATCAACTTGACATGAAATTAGTGGAAATTGTGCACATTAAAGTCTGTTCTTTGACCACAAAACACAAACTAAAGTTCCGGGCGTACAATCTATTGAATATAAATGTGGGCTCGCATGCCAAGGTAAGCACACACACACACATAGTCACACACACACACTCACACACAGGTATCTAAACAAGGGCTAAATGTTAATCAGCTTAGCAGGCTCGCATGCAATGTGGTTATATTTTTGGGCTCGATAAACAGGTTTTGTTTGCCTAAAAGCAAGAAATAAATGAGGAGAAACCGTTAAGCGAAAACACAAATGCTTTTGCACACGCATCAGGCTGTGGGCGTTATCATGTCGCATGCTTTTTAAAATTAAACAACTGATTAATGACAAAGTTGGTTTATCCAAAAATTATCGGATCTAATAAATTGCTGTAGCTAGATGAGAGCTCATCAATTCTGTGGCAGCGCATAGGCAAGCTAGGCACATATGCTAAGCAATTGAGCATATGAGAGTCCCTTCGAATGATTCGAGAAACTTCAAGCATTGAACTTAATGGGAAATAAAAGACAATTCTGTAAACAAAAAATTAGACGTTAGATCCGAGTATCATTGCGGAACCGTCATCTTAAGTTACCGAAATATCAAGAATTTTCCAAGTTTTCCAAGTGCCAACTATGTACTTCCGATCCTGAAAAGTAATAATTGTGAATGTGTATGTTTAGCCCAAAGATATGCATTATATATTGTGAGTTGTAGTTTCCTCTCGCCATACAAAAGTATGCAATAATTTGGTTTGCAATAAAAAATGTATGTTGTGAATTTGTGTGCAGCACAAAAGTATGAATTATAATTATGAATTGTGCATCTTTGTCACTGCGTGAAAGTATGTAATAAAAATTTTCATTCCGAATTAACATACAGCCCAGAAGTATGCAATACAAATAAGGAGTTTGGAGTCTTTGCTACATCACAAAAGCATGCTATGATTGTTTATGCAATTACAATTATTAATTGTGAATATTAAGACAGCACAAAAGTATGCATTACAACACAAAAATTGTGAATACTTAGCTCAGCAGAAAAGTACGCAATATTAAATAATAATTGAGCTTTACCTTGCATAGGGCCACGTAATTCGAATTCCCCAAGCAATTATCTTTAATCTAGATGTTGTCTGCGATTACAAAATTTCCTTTCAACGCAAATGAAGAATCTTTGTAATAATAATAAGTCTGCAGCAAAACTGCAATTTCTTTCAAATGTAAGCTTAAATTTGTCAAGCAACAAAAGCGACAAAACTTAACTCGAACAAGCAGAGTGTAACAAAAATTGCAACACCCAATGGAAATATGGTATAAAAGTCAACGCAAAAACTTCACTAATTACCCGTTAAAGATGAAAATCCAGCCCTGAACACGCACTTGCACACAGATACAGACACTCATAAAGAGCAACAATAAATTTTATGTTAGTCATAAGAAGCACACAGCGCACAGAGAAACCCAGATTGGTTGAACACGCAAGAGCAGAAATTATAGGATACGACGTGTCGGGGGAATGCATCCTTAATACTTTCATTTGGAGGAAATTTAAGTAAAGCTGCGTGCAAAATGAATGACTGGTGGAATTTGAAATGGACCATGCACAAACAAAAAACACAGGCACCAAATCCATATACTCACACACACACACACACACACACACACATACACACACGTGCATATATATTAGTAGTAGCAGCTCTATAACCGTTTTTAGACAAAAGTAGTAAACTTTACGTCCAATTTTATAGTTTTTTTTTAGTGCTGCTGTCACAGTAATTGCCACGAAAATGAAACGAAATTAATGAATTACTTTATTGTCGTTGAAATACGTGTGTTTTCTATGCATTTAATCTATTGAAAATCTCTATATTTACCCGAATAGATGTGACCACTACTAATAAATAGTATTATATTTATTGTACGAGTAGTTTAATTAGAATGCAGCGCACTCTTTTTTCATGAAAAGAGGGACCAAATCATACAACAAACAGAAATAAACAATGTGTACTTTATTTAAAAAAGTGAGATCTATAAATGTTAAAAACGACTACTCTTAAATGTTATATACTTATATGGATTGTAGCGAATTTGTTAAAATAAAAATTATATGCGATATTATATTGTACACCACAATAAGAATCTATTTATGCATGGCTAAAGTAATTTCTAATATAACAGTCAAATTGAAAGTGGCGCGTGAATTAGTTATCGTAGCTGTGCTGAACAACGACCAACGGAACACGATAGTTATCGTTTAAGTAACAGTTTGATATCGATAAGCTAACAGAGGTTTGACTAAAGAGCGGATTGGCAAGTTAATTGGCTGCTGGTATATTTCAATATGAGCTTCCGCGTCATTCAACTTCTAAAAACCGCCTGCAATTAATTGTTTGTTATGAAATCGTAATCGTTAATTAAAGAAAAATGTTAAATAGCAGCTGAAAGTCATAATTGCTTGCTGTAATTAACAGTTGAACGTTATGCGCCGTTATGTTAACAACATATCTGTTTGGCAACAACAACAAAATGTAAAAAGACGGAACTTGTTGCAAAAATCGCCTAAATTGTTTAAAAAACTAAAAAGGGCACACAAAGGACAAACAATATAAAGTTGTGCAGCAGTTAGTAGAGGCTAAGCAAACTAAATGCGCATTAAAATGGATTGTGAAGTGCCCGAGCAACAAAAACAGCAGCAACACCAACAGCTACAGCAACAACAACAACAACAGCAAAAACAGCAGCAGCAGCAGCAGCAAAAACAACAACAAAGCGCCAACAAGTTGTATGCGAGAAAGCCACAGACGTCGCAGCAGCACCAGCAGCACCAGCAGCAGCAGCAGCAGCAAGAAAGCAGCGATGATGATGATTTGAGCAGCGCCGAGCGCAAGAATCTGGAATTCGCACAGAAATTGGGCTACAGCGAACAGTCCATACACACGGCGCTCACACGTCTCGGCTCAGAGGCTAAACAAAACGAGCTGCTGGCGGAACTGATCAAACTTACGGCAGATGCACCACGGCCAGCACCATCCAACAGCAGCAGCAACAACAACAGCAGCAACCATGTGCCACCCGCCAGCAGCAGCAGCAGTTCGCTGCGCCACATCGTCATCGATGGCAGCAATGTGGCGTTGTCGCACGGTAACAACACCATCTTCAGCTGTCGCGGTATACGCATTTGTGTTGAGTGGTTCCGGCAGCGCGGCCATAGTCACATAACAGCATTTGTGCCTAACTGGCGCAAGGAGCTGGCGAACAACAATATAACCGAACAGGAGCTGCTCTATGAGCTGGAGCATGAGCGTGTTCTGGTCTTTACACCATCTCGACATTTGGATGGTAAGCGCGTCTCCTGCTACGATGATCGCTTCATACTCAAACTGGCGGTGGAAACGGATGGCATTGTGGTGTCCAACGATAATTATCGCGATCTGCTGCTGGAGAGCAACGAGTTCCGCAAAGTGGTCCAGGAACGCCTGCTTATGTACTCATTTGTAGATGACATATTTATGCCGCCCGACGATCCGCTGGGTCGCGCTGGCCCCACCTTGGATATGTTTTTGCGCACACAGACCCAGCAGAAGATGACGGATGCACAGCAGCAGCTGTGTCCATATGGCAAAAAATGCACGTACGGTCAGAAGTGCAAGTTTCGACATCAAACGACACAGCTGCAGCTGCAGCGTCTGCCGCTCCAGGTCTCGCACAGTGCTCCACTGCACAGCAACGGCGGGCAGCAATTGCTCGCTAACAGCAACAGTAGCAACAATGCCAAGCTGGCGGCGCTGGCACGCACTAAATCAAATACAATAGAAAAAATCTCGCAACAACAGCAGCAGCAGCAACAACAGCTTTGTCATTCATTCACCAGCCAAATGGAGCTGGGCAGCAATGGTTGCGATGTGGAGCCGGCACAGCAGCTGAATCGCCACAAAAAGCTGCAACGGCAGGCGCCGCCGCCTACCTATCGACTGCTGGTGCCCACGTATAGCGCGCCACAGCAGCAGGCGCTAGGCAACAAC